GGTCAGTTTTGGTTGATGCGAACAAATAATTTTGTTATTCAAGTAAGTCTGATGTATGAACACTATTGAATTTGTTTACGATTCAAAATTTTGAATAAAAAGAGACATGCTGGCTCTCTAAATTGATGCGAACAAAAATTTTTAGTCATTATGTGCCAATATTGATATCATTTGTATTATACAATCCATCCTGACATGAAAATATAACTCATTTACTTATGCAGCTATAAAGATTTACATAATAAAGTGCAAATATGGTCAGTTTTGGTTGATGCGGACAAATAATTTTGTTATTCCAGTCAGTTTGAGGTATGAAAACTACTGAAATTTGTTTACAATTCAATATTTTGAATAAAAGGAGGACATACTGGCACTCTAAATTGATGTGAACAAAATGTTTTAGTCATTATGTTCCAATATTGCTATTATTTGTGTATTCAATCCATCTTTACATGAAAATATAACTCATTTACTATGCGGCTATAAAGATTTACATAATAAAATGCAAATGTTGTCAGTTTTGGTTGATGCGGACAAATAATTTTGTTATTCGAGTCAGTCTGATGTATAAAAACTACTGAAATTTGTTTACGATTCAATATTTTATGTTAAAAAGAGGACATGCTGGCACTCTAAATTGATGCAAACAAAAATTTTTAGTCATTATGTGCCAATATTGATATCATTTGTATTATACAATCCATCCTTACATGAATATATAACTCATTAACTTATGTGGCTATAAAGATTTACATAATAAAGTGCAAATATGGTCAGTTTTGGTTGATGCGGAGAAATCATTTTGTTATACGAGTCAGTTTGAGGTATGAAAACTACTGAAATTTGTTTACGATACAATATTTTTGAATAAAAAGAGGACATACTGGCACTCTAAATTGATGCAAACAAAATTTTTTAGTCATTATGTGCCAATATTGTTATCATTTGTATTATACAATCCATCCTTACATGAAAATATAACTCATTTACTATGCGGCTATAAAGACTTACATAATAAAGTGCTAATATGGTCAATTTTGATTGATGCGAACAAGTTATTTTGTGATACTAGTCAGTTTGAGGTATGAAAACTACTGAAATTTGTTTACGATTCAATATTTTGAATAAAAAGAGGACATGCTGGCACTCTAAAGTGATGCGAACAAATTTTTTTAGTCATTATTTGCCAATATTGCTATCATTTGTATTATACAATCCATCCTTACATGAAAATATAACTCATTTACCATGCGGACATAAAGATTTAAATAATAAAGTGCTAATATGGTCAGTTTTGGTTGATGAGTGCACATCGTTTTGTTCTAAGAGTCAGTCTGAGGTATTAAATCTACTGAAATTTGTTGATGATTAAATATTTTGAATAAAAATAGGACGGACATGCTGGTTCCAATATTGCTGTCAATTGTATTATACGGTCCATAATGACATAAAATATAGCTGAATTACTACGCTACTGTATAGATAAGTTGACAAAGGGCAAATATGGTCAGTTTTGGTTAATGAGATCAAATAATTTTCTTTTACGAGTCATCCTGAGTCAGCCTGTCTGAGATGTGAAAACTGTTTGAATTTGGTGATGATTAAATTAATTTAATAAAAGGACATACTTGAACTATATTTTGGTGAAGAAAAAGAAATTTACTATGAATAATTTTGATTAAATTTATTAAAGAAGTGTGATAACATTATCAATTAACTGTAATCGACGTCAATATGTCAATCGAAAATGACCAGTTAGTCATTTAATTTTGATGTACCTTATCATTTGATTTTTTAGGTCAGTGCATCCAGGATACGATGACAATCTGCGTTAACGCGCGTTTACTACAAACAGTAAACGTGCGTTTACTTTTGACGAAAATAGAAGACGCGCATTTTTTCACGTTAACGCGGAAGTAAACGCGAAAGTAAACGCCCGTTTACTCTTTATAAAATTAGAAGACGCGCCGTTTTTGCGTTAACGCGGAGGTAAACGCAAAAGTAAACGCCCGTTTACTTTTTATGTCTACTGAAATTTCGGAGTTAACGCACAGTTAACGCGGCGTTAATATGAAGTGCACGCGAGTAAACGCCGCGTTAACTTTTTCGGCCCGTCTACATGTAATGCTTGGTCTGCACCCAACTGTACCACATCTCCTTAATATTTTTTAACTAAATACGTTTAATGTTCTCAGATAATTTAACATGTAAGAATCAGCTTTCAGTACCTGGGGGTACTTTAAGATCGGTACTCTGTGTCTTTCATCATAAAAATGTAATTGTTTTGGGCTTAATTCAAATTTGATTAGTTGAGCTATTTCCAACTGAATTTTACAGGTTTTTTTCTTATATTGTGCTGTTACACCAGAGTGTTGAGCGCTGATAAACGCGTATAATCAAACCAAATTCTATATTGGCTATCCCAAGTCATGAGCTTTCAATTCAGTGGATGTCGTTGGTTACTTTTTGTCATTTGTGGGTTATTTTTACTCTTGTAAAAATATTTATTTTCGTTTAAACTGTTTACATTTTTCAAAGTGAATGCCTTATATACTAGTATCTGATAATACGATATGAGTATTTGCTTATTGTTAACAGCAGCACGAGCCACTGTAGTCGTTGTTCACGCCATTTGGACTCTGTTTGATAGTTTGACGCTCCACACGGATCCAGGTATATACATGTCGGAGTGTATGGAATAAATCGAGAAAAAAAAAAATGCATGCTAAGCATACTTATGCTTTTGAAGAGAAAATTGAAAATATTTGTTGAACGGACGAACAGGACAGACATAGTGATTGTTATATGAGTGCGGGTACAATATTTTGTCAGTGTATGTATCTTAGATGCTACCCAGCAAACACACAACATTTTAAAAACATTTTTTAAATGTCATATGGGCGTCTCTCACAAAATATTTCAATAAGATATCAATTAAACATTAAAAAAATGTTTATTTTATTGTTTTTGAAATGTTTTATTTCTAACATTTAAGTAAAATGTTTTTACAACATTAACAAAATATTATTTGCTAATATCTTTTATTCATGTTCTCAAACATTGTTCTAAAATATCCCGTAGATATTTTATAATATAAAAAAATAATATTTTCTTCAATTGGTATTTTATATTTTAACAACATTTAAAGTAAATATTTTCCAAATATCCAAAAAACATTCAGCAAAAAAATGTTTTACAGAAAATATAGTTTTGCTATTTGCATAAAATGTTTTATAACGTAAAATTAAAATGTTTTACATAAAACATCTGAAAAATATCACCTAAATGTTTTCTATAAAATATTCTGGCATACACATTACTTAATAGTCTTACTGATATTTTATTCAACATTTTACGGATATAGAAATAACATTTTATTTAAACTTTATTCAAAACCCCACAAACAACGTTTTGTGGAATTAGCTCGTTTTTTTCAGGATAAGATATTTTACTACATTTCATCAATATCACGACAAGCAAATTACTAAGGTTGAAATCCTTACTTGATATCTTGAAGATCCTTGAAGTCAGATTTTATTCCTTCTTATATTAAAATGCAAAAGAGTCAACATTAAATTAAGCAATAATGTATTTATAAACAATCACCTTTCTTTGATATTTATTCATTTCGTTCGTGTATATTTTAGAAATCAAGAAATGAAAACTGTAACTGTACTAAGTTCAATTTTCGTATCGTTTATATGCCTTACGGAAAACCGACCTTTTCCGGAATCGACTTTTGTTTTATCACCGGAAATGATTTTGAAATTTGAATTTCGAAACGAAGACAGGATACCTCAACAAAGAGAGCCAAGAAAATTGTTTGTTACGCGATATATACTCACTTGGTAAGAATGATTAATCTGTTAAGATGAAACTTGTGCATTCATTGTGTGTGTTCAATCATAATCGGAACCAAATTACATCTGTTTCTGGAGGTGCGGATCAAGGTTTTGAAAAAAGGGGGCCCCTGACCAAGGCAAGCAAACGTTTGGAGTGATACTTGTAAATAGTCTATACATTTATCTTATAAGTAGCTCCATAAGGGGGTCGGGGCGCCTAAATCCGCCACTGTTCAAGCATCTACGTACACCAATTATATCTTTGTTCATTGATTTAAAAAAATTATAAGGATATGTGGCTTGTGTGTTTGATTGCCAATACACCTTATCACTATTTGTCCGCCATTACTGGCCATGGACATCACAAAAGTTCCCATAAAATGTTGACGTCATATATGAAAATATTTGACACCACAATTGAATGTAATACACCTTATCGCTATTTGTCCACCATTACTGGACATCACACAACTGTCACAAGTTCCCTTAAAATTTTGACGTCATCATAAAAAATATCTGATGCCACAATGGAAAAGTGATTGTTGTTTGACATCAAAAGTTCAAGCAGGATAGATTCTTGGGTCAAGCGGGAATAGGGATAAGGTGTATTATTGTATGACGTATGCTGACGTAAATAGTTCAAGCGGGACAGATTTCCAAATACTGAAATAGCGATAAGGTGTATGAGACAGCTATCCACCAGAATTAAAATGACTTGGATAAAAGAAATTATAGGTCACTGTACAGCTTTCAAAACTGAGAAAACCAATGCCATATAGTCCACTTTGAAGCCTTGACAAACAAATGTTAAATTTTTCTTAAGACAATTGAAACAAAACAACTTACTAACTGCCTACATTAAATACACATTATGAAAAAGAAATTTGACAGACTTAAACCAACAACAACTATTGCAATAAGCATGACTCAATACCTTGTTTGCGAGGCACACAAACAAGTTACAATAACACTAATATAAGCACCAATATAAGCACCATGTGAATATGGAGATTTTTTTTTCTAGTAAAATCAGTGTATGTATGTATTTGCAAAACAGTAAATTAAATTTCCCTTAACCACCGTGTATCATCTGTACAGCGGATATAGGTACTAACCAAGCAGGCGTGATCGATTTTGACCTCACACAGTAACGAAAATCTTTGTTTTGTTCACATAATATCAATGTGTACCTCAATCTAAACATAGTTGTTGTTTTAAGAAATGATTTGGTCGTAGGTTGATGATTAGAGATGTCTCGTTATTTTCCCAAAACAAGAACGATTACTAAAAACATGTGCAAATACTTTGTCAAAGAAGTTGGCACTAGTCTCATCCGATATAATTCTATATTCATTGCAACTCTTTTTCTGATAGAAGGCCACTGTGCGTGTGTAATAAGTATAGTTGTATCAATAATTGGCATTGAAATCTTTCATGCATATGTTTTTTTCGATATTTTATTCCGAAAGAAAGCGTTGTGTACGGTGTTTAGCTGACCACATAAATCCTTCTGTACGGTGCATAGTTAAGTTGCTGTACACCGTACACAAAAACAAAATTTTCATACTCTTATTACCCAAAAAGTTTCAAGGAATGAGTAATCACAGGTAGGTTTATGATTGGTAACTATTACTTTTGCCATGTATTAGCTTTCTTTCAGGTAAAACATGTAAATGTCTCGACAATTGTGTCGAAACTGAAAGTTGGTGTTGACATTCACAACTATTTGCGCATTTACAAGTTAATTGTTCTTATTAGAATATAAAAATTGTCTTATAAATAGGAAAAAATCGATGCGAAAATTATTTTGGAGCAGGAATTTCAGATGTTGAGAAATGTACACTGAATGTTGATAAAACAAAGATTTTTGCAATCGTGTCAGTTCAAAATCGTTCATGCCGCTTGGTTAGTACCTATATCCGCTGTACGATGATACACGGTGTTAACAGCTTAATGAACATTACAAAGACTATGTAAGACTTCAGTTCAAGCAAGATAATATAAACTGTTGCTTAAAATTATATTTATTGCTTCATACACACAATGTACATACAATGTATCTTTTATTTTTTAACAGGAGCTAAAAGAAAAGCCACAAAAAACAAGTTCAATATGCAGGTTTACAATTTGGAAGTGTCGCAGGTTCTTTGGAATGTCTACAACCTTTCAGGAGAATTTTGTTTTGAAGTAAGATTTTCATACAGAATTACTGTTATTCCATATTAAATTCAAATATTTAGCATAAACAATGCATTACATTCAAGATTAAGGGCATACAATACAGAAAAGATATCTGGATATTTGAATAAATTTTTTTTTTTGTGACAAAATAGAAACAAGTTGTTTATTTAAATCAATCTTTTAGTCCAACAGTGTGCTTTCATAAACAACATATTTGCTTTCCTTTGAAGTATTTCAAATACATACATGTATAAACAACTCATTTAATGACATCTGTGTGTTTCTCGGTAGTTAAGCTATATTATTATCATCATTGCGAAAACAATGCGTAACACTTCGATAAGTTATTATGTGCCTATAGTATACTTCTAGGACTGTATCATATACCCTTAGATAAATGAAAAGTTATAAACTATGTCACTCTACAGAGTTTAACACTTAAAAAGGACAATAAGATGTTTAATGACATTATGTAGCAGGGCTTTTAAAGGCCCCTACATGATACAATGCATTTAATGAAAACTAAAAAACAACAGCCTGATTTATACAAAACAATAAAAGAAAAAAAAAAATGATAGACAACAATCAACGAGTATAATGAAATAAGACTCTTGACTGCACAAAAATCTAGTCTAAAGTTATTTATGTGTTTTTTTTTAATAACTAAATGAAGTTCAGCGTGGCATATTGCTCTCTCTTAACACGGTCAGCCATTTATCGTCCCCTTCAGACGGACTATCATCGTTATTTGTTTCAAAAGTTTAAAGGGGAGGGGATGTATATCCTTCAGGCAACGTGAATCGTTCTATAATAAAGGAATGTGCAAGAAGTTTATATAAGAATGTAAGATTAATTTTTTTTCAGAAGCATGGCACAGCAAGGAAAAGATATAAGACACTACAAGACATTCCAAGTGATTTTGAATAAGACAACTGATTGACTTTTTCAATGTATTCTTAAATAAATCAAATAGTTGATGTAAAATGGTGTTTTGTTCTCATCTCTTCAGCCAATTATCAATGATTATTGACTTAAGATGTAACCCTATTAGAAGTGTAGCGTTTTAGTTTAGAAAGAGAAGTTGTATTGAAAAATCTGAATTTGGGACACAAGCTTTAGTCAATGTAACTTGAACTTAAAAATGTGTATAGTGTTTGCATAATGTCCAATGGCATATATGTCATGCATGTTCAGGTTGACATATGCATGATGTGTGTAAGATAGGTAATAAAAGTTGAGAGTGAAAAACTAAACATTATACCATTGTGGTTGTAATGTGGGCTTTCTTGCACTGTCTGTCGTCAGTTCACCTATATTTGTCGGATTTTGTCCAACAAATATTTTCATCACTGTTATTCCCAAAACTGCTGATAAAGATGAGTTCATATTTAATGAGGTGCTTGATAGTGATGAACTGTGATGTGTGAACAATTTTTTTATCTGGCACCTGTTTCCTGTTTGCTTATACATTGTATTTCAAAATGTTGAATGTTCTCAAATTTTTCATTACTTTAATTAGTAATGCTGATGAACAGAATGACTTCATATTTGGTAAGTGGCTTGACCATGATGAGTTGTGTCTGCCATTTTGGATGTGTCAAAATTTGTAGATACTTCTTGTTTTTAGAGACTTTGAATTGTGAATTTCATATGCTTAGCAAAACAACTGATTTATTCTTGTTTGTATATAGAATTAATCACTGTGTATAAATTAATTTAACTAATGATTTGTTATTTAAAAAAGCAGGAAACTCAATCAAAAGTACAGAAATTTTTATATTGATATGATCTTAATATCAACCAAAAACATCTTCTTAAAACATTTTGAAAACATTTTTTAGGCACAGTCTCACTTGCAAGAAAACATCCAAAAAACATTTTTATAACATTATTTGATGTTCATGATGTTTTTCAAACGTTCAGAAAATATTTCTAGAAAATGTTTTTTAAAAGATTATCAAAATGTTTTATACGCCATTGTTTTTCACATTATCATGATATTTCTTTACAACATTTTAATTATATTATGCAAATATTTTAGAAAATATTTTAGAAAACGTTTTAGCGATATATATTCTACCATACATTTAATGTTTTTCTCACGTTTTTTTGTGATATTTTCATGACATTAGACACAACATTTTAAAAACGTTTTAAAGATGTTTTTGTGTTTGCTGGGTAGTGGTTAGGAAATCTGGATCAAAACGGGGTAATCTTTACTTGTTAAAAACATTTTATACTATTTTGAATAATAATTGCTTGCCTACTGGATATTAATACAATAGCAAATCACAAGGATTATGGAAGCTGTGAAACACCATTTTACAATAAAACTGAGCTTTTTGATACAGAGAAACAAAGAGAAAAATCAAATAAATTATGCAACAAAAAGTGTTATCAAATCAAAACAAGTGTTGCTAGAATAATAATATATGCACATAAAGCATAATTTATGTAATATTTGTCGCTGGATATAAGACATACATCAGTATCATCATCATCATAAGTATTAAAGCTTGAGGCTAAGTCTTTGTCGTATGTGTTATAGCTTGAGGCTTCTTCGTCGTAAGTATTATAGCTTGAGGCTAAATTCTTATCTGATATTTTAGCCAATTTATGGCGAAAACTTAATTTACGCATGCATCTCTTTGCTACATAGGTTTTGTAAATGTCCAAGTAAAGGCCAATAGAGATCATAGAAGTATGTTTATCAAATGATCATGTCTACTCATAATTAAAACAGTAAGCAAGGGATTGACTCATCCGACTTAAACAAAGCACAAACACAGCAATTACTAGTATATCCAAATAAACTCCATGTGCCAATCTTAGATTATTCACAGCTTCTGAACACTATCTTGAAAACAACAACAACTAATAATCCAGTCTAGAATATTAATCAATTATTTCGTACTGTTACACCACTGTCCCAGGTAAGTGGGCCCGCTAACATGTTTAACGGTCTTTAACCCCGCCACATTATGAATGGATGTGCCTGTCCCAAGTCAGGAGCCTGTAATTCAGTGGTTATCGTGCTGTTGCTGTGCTTTCGTTCATTTTTTTGTACATTAATTAGGCCGTTATATTTATCGTTTTAGTTGTTTTACATTTGTCATTATGTGGCCTCTTAGAGCTGACTATTCGGTAAGGGCTTTGCTCATTGTTGAAGGCCGTACGGTGGCCTATAGTTGTTAATTTCTGTAGTTTGGTCTCTTGTGAAGAGTTGTCTCATTGCAATTCATACTACATCTTCTTTTTTGTACATATCACAAATTAAGTATATAAAATACATAAACAGTCTAGAAAAGCAAGACCTTTTGTCATGTCAAAAGCACAGATTGTCTGTAGGACCATTAGTGTTCATAACTGCATAGCAGATTATATTTAGTTTCTATAAAATGTAATAAAAATTTATCGGCAAAAGATCCATGCTGATTTGTTAGTGGAATTATATATAACTAAATAAATAAATATTTATATAAAAAGAAACATCAGAAACAAGATTATTTGTCCATTAGATTGCACGCCAGTATCACAAGTGAACTCTAAATCCAGGAAAAAATGCAATTCAGTATGTGGTCTTAAACGTTTAAATCTCATGCGGTCAAATGTTAAAACATTGTTGTTTTTAAAACGTATTTATCAAAGTCAAACGACAATCATTATTTTTTTTTGTGCTATACAATTTGTGGTTAAGGCCGGATCCAAGGTATTTGAAAGAAACCGTAGTTCCCGATAATTGAATTCATACTGCCGAGCGTAGCGATGCAAAAAAAAAATGGACGGTTTTATACTAAAAATTTGTGTAGATAACGTGGAAAACGTGAGGTTTTCAAAAATATTTAGCGATCGAAAAGGGGGGGGGGGGGGGGGTAACCCCCTCTACCCCTGTATCCCCGAATGCATGTTTAGGTATACATGGACAAAAACCTCGTCCCATGCATTATTATAGTTAAAGACGAAAAAGTACTATTTGATAAATGTATAAATGATATGAATTTCTGCCCACGTCAAATTATCTTGAATTAAATTATACAAAAATAATTTAAAAAAAAAGTTAGTCGCGTACACCTTTTTCATTCGGGTGTGTTGGAATCTACTTTAAAACGTTAAGACTTATATATATATATATATATATATATATATATATATATATGTATAAAGATAACCTTCTCGCTTCGGATTTCATAATTTCAATATTTTCATGCTAAATTTTTACTTCGTAGTTTTTAAAATTCATATTTTGAGAAGAACTGAAATATGGGTCAAGTGAAAAGACAAGGAATGATGGGTGCATTTGATTACAAGTTGCTAGCTTACTTATTCCATTAAAATATTTGTGTCAATAAAATCATTCAAAATTTAATAACAAAATATTTAAAGATTAAAAAAACTTAGTTGGGGTTGATTTTTTCATTAAGTCTATATCAGCAAAAAATGCCTGTTCAAAGAGCAAACAAATGCATGCAGTGTATACTCCCCACCGTCATGCTTCAATGCAATAGGACGAAATACGTTGAGTTAGGTCGGTTATGTCGAGTAAAGTCATTTTATTGGAAATCTCTAATGAGTTGTATTGTATCTTTATGTTTTTTACATTTATTATGACTACGTTTGGATAATACCGTTAAGTCCATCATTCCTAACGATTTATGACCGCTAGTTAACTTAAAGGAATGCAAGCAATGGCTCCGATTCCTGTTGCGGCAGTGCTGAGTGCACTGGTTGTACAAATAACGTTTAGAACAGAACAGGTAATAGACTGGTAAATACCAGGGGATACATTTGGGAAGAAACTGTAGATGGTGGGTTGTTGTGATCCATTGACATAGCTACCACTAATGATATCACTATTGACGAGAATGCTGTTGATGCTGATGATGTTGACAATGCTCTCACACTCTGTGTAACCATTTGTAGCTCGATTGTGTGTGTAAATTTTTCTTTCGAAGCCTAGCACTGTATTGATGCTATTGTCAACATTAAAATCGACCTGATAGTTTTTAGCTAAAGTAAGTGTTGCCCTAAGTGTACTTTTATTAGCATTGATGTGGATTTTGGTAAGGTGTTTGTTGAGTTGTAGATTTCTTTGTAACACGTTGTTGATGTTTTCAATAGAGTAAGAGCCAGTATTCAGTGCAATGGTAACCCAGATGGCACCATTATCATTAGAATAACGAAAGATATTGTTCTCTGCATGAATATTTGGGAAAGAGTAGTAAGTCTCTAGGTTGACAAGAGCCATTTCATTACACTTTCCATTTTTTAAGTGAATGGGTGGATTGAACCGGGTATCGATTTTGTTGTTATTATCAGACACAATGAAAGAAAACCCATGCTTAGGTGCTGTATTGTCGACAATGTGTTGTAACAAGTGATTATCCATTATTTATGTTTTTTAACACGCAGCGTTCATCTTTTGTCCATCAGATTCAAACTGTCGAATTCGATCAGAGAGTACCAATGCAAAAGCTTCAGTGTTTGCTTGAACATTACGCAGGAATTCTGCTCGGATTTGAATATCAACCACAGACTCTTTTAGTTTTTCAGATTGATGACTTTCATCAATGACGAATAATGGGTAAAGGTCTGTAAAGTCGGAAGGGTTAATGTTACTATTGCTAAGGAGATGATCCATACTAAAAAAAACTTTGTTCGAAAGTCAGCAGCTTCTTTGTAGACTCTAGATACTTTGCATTGTTTGAAATAGGCGTTGAAGTCTACGGCTAGATAACGTTGCGCATTTAAGGTGACATAGATGTTTCTTAAAAAACAGTGATCAAATATGGATGCGTTATGTTCTTGATCGTTATCTTTATCGCTTTGAAAGGCTACGATGATGTATCTTGGTTTTTCACGGCCGGTTTTGGCAGAAAGTCGCCAAGTGAATTCTCTACTTTGTGGAACGGATATGGAATCACATGGTCTCATACGGAAACCACAGTTGAGTTTGCTTTTACTTTGAATTGTTTTGTACAGTGCAA